CACATACATAAACACACACACATACACATACATACATAAACACATACACATTCACATTCATATATATATATATACACAACACATACATATACAAATCCATATACACGATATATATACACATACCTTGGCGAATTTTGAAGAAAAATAATTTGTTGGAGAAGATTGGAGAAGATTGAGATTTTTTTTTAAAAATTTCTGTCGCAAATCTGTCGCAAATCCGCAATTTTAAAATTTCTGTCGCAAATCTGTCGCAAAATCCAAAAATAAATAACTTTAATTTAAAAATAAATAAAATTAATATTTGCGACAGAAATTTCTGTCGCAAATCTGTCGCAAATCCGCAATTTTAAAATTTCTGTCGCAAATCTGTCGCAAAATCCAAAAATAAATAACTTTAATTTAAAAATAAATAAAATTAATATTTGCGACAGAAATTTCTGTCGCAAATCTGTCGCAAATCCGCAATTTTAAAATTTCTGTCGCAAATAATGTTTGGTTCTGCGACGACAACGTTTCCGTCGTATTCCGTCGCAAATTGCGACGGATTTTGCGACTAATTGCGACAGAATAAAAATTTTCGCATTCCGTCGCAAATTCGTCGAATTCTGTCGTAATTTCTTTGCGACGGAAAAGTTTCGTCGCAAATTCTGTCGCTATATTAAGATTTTCTTGTAGTGCAAGTAAGTCGAGGCATACCTCTTCCTCGTTTCTTCACTTACATTTTTATATTCTCTAATTTTTTAACTGGACCGTGTAGCGATCTGTATTTTACGTGTCCAAATGACCTTAAGCGTCTATCGCATAATTTTTATTCTATAGTTATAACTCATAGTTTTTAATTAAAACCATATCTAATTGAATTCCGACGTTCATAACTAGTTTCAACGAAAATTTTAAATCTTACAGCTAAAGTGTGTTTGACCATAAGTGTTTAGAATTTCCAAAATCTTATACCCAAAATTATGCTTTTGTTCATTAATTATATCTAACAAAAAAATTAATGGTTGGTTACCGAAAAAAATAATGGAATAATGCAAATAATCTAATGTTAATTGCAATATTGTGAAATTATAAAATCTCACGGTTCCGAAAATTAAATTTAATGCGAAAAAGATTTTTTCTTTTTCCATTTTAAAAACAAAATTCACGACGACAATAATGTGAATTTCACAAAAAAAAAAAGCTGATTGGACAGGTGTCATTCTATCTCGAGATAATGCTGGGGGTAATCATATCACGTTTGACACTTGATCGCTAATCATAGACTTTCTTTATATATATACATATATATATATATATATATATATATATATATCTTTTCTATTTGGCTCTTACGTAACAAAATATAATAACAAAATAGAAATGAAATATAATATATATATGTATGCATGTATATATATGACTGTGAGTTTTGTTCCTTCAATCACGACCATATTATGGAAAGATTTGCTAATGTGATTAATCATTCCCATTAGTACTGACACGTTTTACAGCTGGAGAGGAGTATCTTTTTAATTTTAATTTTAATTTCTTAATTATTACTCACGAAACCTTTTTTGGAAATTTACCCAAAAACAAAATATTTTATTTCTTTCTTTTGATAATTACCAAAAAAAAA